TATAAACGGATTTTTATATATTTATGTACTTAATAAATACATTTTTTTATAAATAGGTATTTTGTATACAAAAAAGTTCTTAAAAAAAGTTCTTATATACAAAACTTAAGAATTTTTTATGTGAAACTATGTTTTTTTTTTGTATAAATTTGATTTTTTTAAATAAAAAACATATTCAAATTTTTTTTTGAGAAAAAAATTTGTAAAAAAACTAAAGTTAGGATGAATTCATAACAAAGTTCTGAAATCTAGGTTAAAAGTGTAAATTTTGGACCAAATTTATAATAAATTTTAAAATCTGGGCAAAAAGTGTAAATTTTGGACCAAGTTTGTAAAAAGTTTTGAAATTTGGGCCAAAAGTGTAATTTTTAAAAGTTGGATGGCTGTTGACCGTGTAAAATGGTTAAATTGAATACGATTAACGGTTTTTGGAACTTAATTGAATAAAAAAAAAGATATAAGGACTAAATTAATTATAAGGTCAATATATAAAGATTTTTTTACAGTTTTTCCAAATAACTTTTGTTATCTTAAAAATGTTTTATTTAACTTGGAATTTCCGCATCTCAATTTATTAAGCGTAAAGAAAATGTGTAATTGGTTTTGAAAAGTGGGGGATGTCTCAGTTTAAAAAAAAATCAAGATTTTCAAAATACACTAGTTTTTGTTTTAGTTGAGACACTATGTTTTACAATTTATTTCAATGTTGACTATTTACCCGCTTATCCAGTTGTTAGCTGGCGTGACAATTTTTGATGACGTGGCAACTTACATGGCACTCTGATGTGAGGATTTTTGATGACATAACATTATAAGTGTCAAAATTGAAAAAAAAAAAGCTACATATAATGGCTTTTGTGATAATCATCCAAAATATAGTGATTTTTGTACAATTTCGTAGAAAACAGAAAAATAAAACAATGTTAAAATCAATATTTTGTGTAAATTTAATATTTTTTATGGAATTATGTCCTCTTAAAAAATCACAAACTCCAGCTTGTTATTTGACTTTTTTTCACGAGTATAAATTACATACAAATCCAAACAATTTTAAAAATAATAAAAGATATTTTTTTATCGGCTCATAAACTAAAGCTAATATTGACAAATCACAATCACCCTACGTGAAGCTACGTTTATCACGGCATGCAGATGGTGAAATCGTGGATTAAATGGGTAATTAAATGGTTTAGGGTTTTGGTAGGGATTGTTTGCGGACGGCATTCTTGTCGTTAGGGATGGTTCCTGTGGAATTTACAAAGTGATTTGGGGAAAACGTACCTAAATGGGTGATAATTGTTTGTCCTCTCTAAATACAAGACCACCACTGAGGTGAAGAAGCAAAAACGATCTTTCATTAATTAGAGCATAATTATTGAGTTGATTAAAAAGGGAGAACAACCAATTACGCCTTTTTCTTCTGTAATTCTGTTGACTTTCACTCCCTCGATCGACCTTTTCATTCTTTTGGCCATTCTTTCACATGTTGAGGCTATTCCTTGAAAATGTCATCGTCCCTCCTACCAGTTGCAAAACAATTTTTAACAGCTGGTTATTTATATCCGATCCTAGCTCCCTGTTAGATTCTTCACAGAAACTTTAGTACAGATATTGGAAACTGGCCAAGATCATGTCCTCTGGAACAGCCAAGGGTGACAGATTGTTATTAACTTCAGTACAACCATGTGTCCACTTTTCTCTAGCAGAGATTCAATCCGCAACCAAAGACTATGATAATAAACTGATCATTGGACAAGGAGGATTCGGAAAGGTGTACAAGGGTAATATTTGTATAGAAGAGACTAGTCATGTTGTGGCCATCAAACGGTTGGATTCTAAATCTAATCAAGGGGCACCAGAGTTTAGGGCCGAAATTCATATGCTTTCTAAGTTGCGCCATTGTCATTTGGTGTCTCTGATTGGCTTTTGTGATGATAACAATGAAATGATCCTTGTTTATGAGTATATGCCCCGTGGAACCCTCTACCATCATTTACACAAAGCAGAGACTCCTTTAAATTGGGTGCAAAGACTGAAGATAGCCATTGGTGCTGGCCGTGGATTGGATTACCTTCACACTGGTGTTGGTACCCAACACGGAGTGATACATCGTGATGTGAAGAGCTCGAACATTCTTTTGAATGAGAACTGGGATGCTATGATATCAGACTTTGGGTTGTCCAAAATTGGACCAACCAATCAATCATCATCTTATGTTGATGCAAGTGTTAAAGGCACATTCGGGTATCTGGATCCAGAGTATTTCTATACCAGAAAGCTGACAAGGAAAACAGATGTGTATGCATTTGGGGTTGTGTTGTTTGAATTGCTATCAGGGAGGCTTGCAGTTGATGAACGCAATGGTGACGAGCAATGTAGTTTGGTAAGATGGGCTCAAAAGTGTGTGAAAGAACGAAAATTAGATCAAATGGTTGATCCTAATATCAAGGGAACAATTTTTCCCAAATGTTTAAAACGGTTTGCACAAATTGCATACCGTTGTTTGCTTAGTGTTCTAAAGGAACGTCCAACCATCGCTGAGGTTGTGGTCTCACTTCAGGCTTTACTTGTACTACAACAGAGACATGAAAATTCAGCTGAACCATCAAGCATAACTGGATTCACTTGGAAGATTCATAAGTATCTTGTTTCAGCAACTAAGCAGAACTCTGGTATATATACAGAACCTTTTCATTAGTGTTCAATATGTATATACGTGTCTTCACACTTCATAGTTGTGACCATTTAACGGTCTTAAAAGTAAAAGTATTACATGCAGAACACCCACACATAATTTTAACTTTTGTGCTCCTCCATAGCGTTTTACATTAGTCCATTTGCAGAAGTTGATAATGGTTTGACTTTCTTTCTCTCTTCCCTGTATCTAAATGCAACAATGTTGCTTTGTCATATAAGAATGCAACAGATATCTGCCATATATAGATATAATTGCAAATCTTTTACTTTCGATCTTGTAGTTGTAGGTAATTGTTACTAACTATGTTAGCTTTTGACCTTTTTCATCCATTACCCAAGACCAAAGTGGCACAAGTTCATCAAAGAGCCATGTAAACATGAATCAGGGCTCTTCAACTAACAAGGATGGCAACAATCAGGGTGAAATGCGTCGTCATCCTTGGGAATCGGTGGTTACAGATCTTAAATGTTTCACGTATTATGACCTGAGACGTGCTACTGAGAACTTGGGAGATGACAAGAGGTATCTGAATGTTTACAAAGGTTGGATCGATAAAACAACATATTCTCCCACAGAAGATAATACCGGATTGGCGATTGCTGTTAAGAGAATTGATTTCTACAAAACTGCATGCTGGGTAAAGTATCTTGTTATTACCCTCTCTTTTTGTATCTTATTGGCGCGAAAACCCAAATTAACTTCTGTTCAAATACAAATTATGTGGTACCATTGCACGTATCTCTTTCATGGAACAACAACATTGTGAAATATGATCACTTTTGAATGAAGTTGCATTTGAAAGAATTTAGGCACCCCAACCTTGAAAAGCTCATAGGATATTGCTTCGAAGACCAACTAGGCAAACAATTGTTCCTTGTGTATGAATTCATGCCTAACGGAAACTTTAATGATCTCCTGAATAGTGGTAAGCAACATAAATAACTCCATGAATAAATAAAATTTTCAAAATAGTACAAATTTATCTTATATTTGATGGGATGTAGGTGTGGTATCACGACTTCCGTTGGTTATAAAGGTGAAAATAGCAGTTGGAATTGCCCGAGGGCTTGTTTTCTTGCACAAGACACAAAATGAATTTAATGTCTTTGAGTCTCGGCTTGACAGACACATGATATTACTGGATGAGGTATATATGAGCTATTTTCACTATAGGCATTGGAAATTTTATTTTAGTATGTTTTCATGTGAATCCCATGTTCAATTATTAAACTAGACTTAGGATTTATTAATAAATGAATGGCAGTTAATGTCGTTATGTTATATGCAGTTAATATTAGTTAATCCAGAAAATAAAGACCAATTTAAAGCAGTGGGGGAAGCAGAAACTTTAATAGGGGGTGGCACAAAAAAAATCCTGATAAAAGATAGTGAAGTAGTTTTTTTTTTTAATATATATTTTTATTTAAGGTTTCATTAGATATAACAAAACTAGCACAAAAGTCTTACATTTTAAAGTTGACTTCTTCATTTACCCATTTTCTGAAAACAATCTATTACTCGTTCGATCTTAAAATTCATAAGTGTTTTTTTTTCTACACTACAAATAAAAGCATCGTTCGAAAAATCATTACCAATTTTATTACACAAGTCGGTCTTCAAGAGCTTCATTGCGAAAAAAAAACATATTTCAACAACTTTGGTTGCGACGGGCAAAACCAAAGTAAACTTTAATAACCTATAAACAAGAAAAAGAATGATGTTTTCCGGTTTCCACCATCAAAAGAGAAAGGTCTTTAATGCCCTTCAAATTAGAAAATCTCACTACAAACACAATTAAAGATTTAAAATTTACAATTGAAGATTTAAACCTAATTTCACCAACAACATAACAAGTAAACGGATAATTAGCTAATTTTAGGCTTTCAATTTGAATATCAAAATTAAACTAAAGTAATAAAAATGGATTTTAAATTATTAAATGAAATTTATTAATTAATCAATGGGCTATTTATTCTATTTAGTGAGCTATCAAACTGTTAAATGGATTTAAATTTATCCCTCTATACGAGCATCATAAATTTGATGGTATTGAATTGTTGTTTTCTTCTCATCATCGACAGATCCCATAATGGGATTAAAA